AAAATGAAGTGCTGTTAGATTAACTTCATTAAAAAATAATTAAAAAATTCAATTTACACTAAAAATGTCTTCAAAATATTTTTTTAACCTCTCATGAAGTATATTATATTTTTTTTTTCTCAAAACTTATCATCATTAATTATGATTTACATTTATAAATTGTAATCCAATTGATTTATCATTTAATAATGACTATTAATATGACTTTTGTTATAGAATTTTGTATTCCTTATCTCTAGATTGTTTTCTTAAGAGAAAAACAATATTTATCAACAATAAAGTTAATCTGATATAACTCAAGTATGTGCTTTCAAATATGAAATCATTACTCACATGCTGTTATGTATATGTTACGTATGCTAACTGTCAAGGGTAGACACTGATAATAAATGTCCTGCGGATGAATTCACACGCCTGCCTTAGAATCGACCTCATCTCCTATATCTATCTGTCACTCTTGAAGTATTACCAGTAATCATATATATGTGTGTATATATAAATTATTTTTAAGGAGCAGTAGAGGATTAATGTTTATAAATAACCGTTACCGTTCGAATAAAACAAACAATAAATATTTGAAGTGTTAAATTTGTTATTCAAGTATCCTTTTAAATTAGAAACTACTTTTAATATCTTATGAAAAATGTGTCGAAGAATAAAAACACAATGAAGGGAATAGAGCTTTGACTTTTAAAGTAGAATATCAAAGAGAATCAATATAAGCTGCATATATATTTTCAACCGTACCTTTTTTCTACACTATAAGTTGCTGATATCCAATTCCTAAATCACATCACGAATCTTTCATAAGAAAAAAACGATATTACATATATTTGTATCTATATAACATATACGTACATAAGTAACTCAGAAATTTAATGGAATATTATATAACCATAAAAGTTTTATTGAATTTTATAATTACAACTTCAAGGATGTAATTGAAAAGAAAGTTCTACGTCAAACTGCAGCTGAGCATAATTTTTATGTCATTTTTTTTCTAAACAAATTATAACTCAAACTATTTACTAGTTTTATAAGGAATTCAATTTCCAAGTCGTTTTGAATTTTTAAATCTATGTTAAGTTTGATTCAAGTATACTACTTTTGTTACAAATTATTCATGACTAAATTTTATCTCATTTTTGGAAATTATTCGCTGTGAGTAATATATTCTTTCTCGTAAATTCAAGCTGATAAGAGTATCGTTAAATGGAGAATAAGAAACAATGTAAAGAAATTAATAGAGATTTAATCATAAAATTATGTCATTTGCGCACTTTAACAAAAAGTAACGAAGGAAAAATGGTAATAATTTAAATGATGTAAAAAGGAGTAATTATATTTTTAAACTCTTTACGTCAGTTGAACTGTCATTATATTAAGTGAGTAATAGAAAAATTGGCTAATAAGTGTTAAAGTTCTAGTATATTTATAATCCGGAAATGCCTTCTGGCCTACTTTAAAAAAATCGTTTAAACAACAAAAAAGTTTCCATTATTTTCCATGCATCATTCTTTTCTTTGTTCAATAATTACATCTAATTACATCATTAAATATTATACTATTTTTATTATTTAGATTTAAATAAGATGATTTGAATAAAATAATGAGATAAAATAAATCAAGTGTATTTATTTCAGAAGCAAAAGAAAAAGTATCGAGCCCTTGAGAATGATTAAGTATCATTGTTAAACTGTATTTAAGCAAATAAAAAAGTTAAAATAATTCCACCAATAAGGTAAAGTACATTTTAAAAAAAACTTGTGTTGTTATATGAACATTTAAAAAGTGTAAAACAATAAAAACATACTGATCAATGTATCTCGTAAGACATGAAACAAAGCGCTCGGAGTACTCCCTATTCCGGTATTGATTTCGCATCGAGGGTCATGCCCGGATAATACCTCGTCTCTCCGTCCCTCCTTTTAACTCACCCTCGCTCAGTGTTCCTCACCCTAGAAGTCCCGACAATTGACGTGACGCTACGAAGCGTGCGTAATTTGCATCTCTCTCTCTATTCTGCTACGTAAATGATCGATCACTCTCAATCCAACTATGCGTGGATCCACGAGTCACACGCCAAATTTTAGTCAATTACAATTCATCATACAGTTCACTGTGAAGCTCGATAGATTAAAAAATGTCACCAGATGTAGGTAATAAAATCATTCAATTATTACAATTCAGAACTATATGGAGACATATACTGACATTTTATCCTTTTTTTTACTATTTGATAATTTAATTGCTGTGCAATTATTTTCGATTTGAATTAACATATTACTTGAGCGCTGCTAATAAAAGCACTGTTGACTCAGTCTGTGATATTTTTGGATGCCTATTAAAGCAACGCTACTCGGTTGTCTTATCTCATTATTATTCTGTCTTCTTTTAGCAACCTAAACTAATTCAATTTCACACTCAATCTTTTTTAAGAATTATTTTATATTAATTTGTAAAATTCATACAAATGAGTTTATAAAAATTGAAAGGTATAGAAATATAATTGAATGTCTTCTTCTCTACTGAGTATTCTACAGCTCAATGCAGCTTTTAAATAGGACAAAGTGAATAATGTTATTATACTGAAGAGTGCATTCATGATAAAAAAAAAAGAAACTTTTTTTATTTATAAAAATATCATTTTGTTACTTAGGTTTCTTTTTTAAGAGTAAAATTGTTAGATAAGAGTTCAAATAATTATATCGAGTTAAAGAAGAGTCATGCTCGTGATATAAATAATGCATGGTAAATATCAATTATGGACGACATAGGCCTTGAGAAAAGGTCAGTTTCATTCATCACTTGGTTTACTGTCTTTGTAGCGATATTTATTACACTTGCGAAAATTATTTCGTTATCTTTCCTTTCGTATGGCCAAACAATTGTAAAAAAAAATATCTTTTTATCCTTAACAAACATTTGATTTCCATAATAATAATAATTCCTACCAACAAAAAAAGCTTTAGAAAAATTGTGTAGTGTTAAAATAAAAATATTCTCATTATCAAAAGAAAAACATATTTAACTATTTAAAAAAAATTATTTTTAATAAATTATAATTATGTTCTTAATGCCCTTTGCCATGTAATTAGGGGAAGGGAGAATAAAGTAAAATGTGGAGGCAAAGTGAAATGCTCGAGAAAATGGTAAAAATTATTAACATTTTTTAATATAATGGATAATTTGTTGATTTACGTTTTTTCTTGGTATTCCACTTTACCCCATCTTTCTCTATAATAAAAAATATTTAAACATACTTCTATAATTTTGATCCGATTAAAACCATTACACAAAATGTATTCTCCTCTAATAGTCCTCTCCTTTATTATTTTCATTTCATTTTACATTTTCTCTATTCCTAAAGAATTACATTTTACCAAGTATACTTAAATTCACTCAAAATTAGCCCTCATGAAGATAAAAAATATGCAAATGAATTCGAAAAAATGCACAGCAGAAATAAATTATGCAAATAAATGTCTCAAGAGTGGCAGAAGCTTATTTATCAGAGTCTGATATAATAAACTCATCCATAAGTGAGTAGAAATAAGTAAGGAATTATAAAGAGAAGAAAGTAAAGTAGATACTTGTTGAAACTTGCGGACTATATGGAACTTGCGCGTGTGGCCACGAGTAATTAACTTCAAGTGGTTAATTAATATCAGCACCCGAGTGCTTTTCGCTCGTTGAAACCTTCCCCTTGGCCTGTTTCTTCATTCCTTCAGTTACTCTACCACAAGTTAATGTGTTACCCGATCACTTCCGTATGTATATCTATATACATACATAATGCTATCATTTGAGAATAAAAAAACTCGATAAGGATAATAATACAATAATTTATGTCTCTTGTGTATAATATCCCAAGTGCTCGACTCATGTTGCATTGATTTGTGAGTATGATGTGTAAACAGCTATTACAACGCCTGCGGCCTTATTCATAAACTAATGAGCCTAACGATCGATAACCAATATCCTGTATCGTTGTATATTTCCATAACTTAGAGATGTGTTAAAATTAATCAATTAAAAATTTTCTTTAGCATACAGATAAGAAAATAGGAAGTATGCCCCCAAGATAATAATATGCATTGAAATTGCTAATAAGACGCGGAGTAAAATTATTGAAGTACTAAATATAAGCATTCATAACATAAAGCATATTTGCTATCGTTTGCAATTTATTACCTAGCAGTCAATTTTCCTATCGATAAATACTTCCCTCGAGCATCTCACGGCTTTTTAACCATTTATAACATGTGTGTCTTATATACGCAAGTGAAAGTGATTGATTTCGAAGATAATAACACAATACTATCGGCTAAATATTATTTTTTTATTTTTAAATAAAAATTATCTAATAAGAATGGAGTATTTTAATCAATTCTGTAGTTATTGTTTGATTCTTTTATGAGAAATAATTTTTTTGATCATTTTTTATGGTTTAATAAATAACTACATAAGCTTTTATTTTGTTGTGAATTATTTATTAAAATAATTTATAATGAAATATATTGTATCAGATTATTTGTTTAATTGAACAAAACAAAAATGAAAAAACGTTTTTAATCCATGAAAATGAATTAATCTATGGACTTTGAATTTTGTTAACAGTATTTTTATGTCAATTTAAAAATGACAAATATTCTAAAATTATTATTTTAGTCAAAATGATTTTAATATTATTATTCATTCGTAGTATTATTTTTTTCAATACCCCAAGAGGCTTTAAATAGATTGTAATAATACCAAGCCTCGACATATTGATATTTCTTCTACCTACCCGATGTGTAATCTAGCACTCGCATAATGGAATAAAATACTTCTTACAGCAGTGTCCAAGGTTATTGCTAAGAAAAATGGTAATTTATATTTCATTGTCTCATAGACATATTTAGAATGAAGAAGGCATTTACATTATAGGAGTCATTTTTTTAACTTTTCTTCAAGAAACATGATATGAGAGAAGAATGGTATGAGAACTAACGACTCACCTGGTGTCTGGCTGTGGGATGTCGGGGGCAGGCTTGGGCTATGCTGGTCTATTAGCCAGCCGTGCTTATGGGCTGCATTTGCGCAACCTCCACTTCCGAACTGCTTCGGCTGTGTCCCTGCATTCTGTAAAATAAAATAATATTTTTCTTATTATTTTTTCATTCATCATAAAAATAGAATAACAAGTACAAAAATATATTTCTCTCAATTTCGTACAGACTATAAGTTGACAAGTTGAAAAAAACTTGGGAAAGTTAATTCATAAATTGTATTATTCTTTTATAGCAGTAAATGTCAAAGAAAAGTATTGTAAAATAATTCTCAAAATATTGAACATTTGATCATTCTGTATGTGTACAACAACAATGTACATTGGTATGCGAGTGGTGTGTCTGATTAAACGTCGATATGCACCCCTCCATTCCGCCATGACTACCCAAGGTATAGATGTTGAAAACTTGAACGTCTTAACCCACCCCTGTTCTTCATTTCTCTGCTCTTACAATACAGCCGAAGCAAGGGAAAAGTTTATATTGGATTTCATATTTAATGCAATACATCGCAGCTCGCGCTGCTGCTGGATAAATTATTTATGTCCAAGGACTCGTGCAGTCGTTGCAGCTTTTTTTTGCCGATGTAGAATATCTTGTGTTCTCAAATCTCGTCCATTATAAACAATAAGATGTTTGTAAATCATAATTAATGTTCATAAATTTAACTTCTCAGGGAATTTATGGTAGTAACTTGGTAATAATGCGAAATAAGTTGAATTGATTTAAAACAGATAGTGAATAACAAGAGGACGATTATTGAGTGGCTTCTTTATTCATTCTGTCATCAAATCGGATTGAGGTCATTAAAAAAAAACAACCTGATTTAATGTAATCAGTGTTTTTCGAACTAAATGGTAAGTGAAGCAATTAGACTGACATGGATTTAGTGACTTTTTCTGATTATATAAATTTGATAAGGTTTTTAATGAAATTAATGTAATTGTAAAAAAATAATTACAAGAGATTGAGAAATAAAATACTTTTTAATTTATTTTAAAAATAACTTTGCTAAATATTATCGATAGGTTTGTAATTCACGAGTAATCAATTGTACTAAGCTACTCTAACTTTTTAAATTTTATCAACAATCTATTTAGTGTTAAAAAAATTTCTACCATGTTTTTCTTTAATATAATACGATAAAACACTCGTAAAATATTTATAGAGTGAATCACAGAATTTTTTACTTTTTTTTGCAAGCAAATGAATACTTATTTTGTAACTTACTATTTATTAATTAAAAAAAAGAATCAATTGAAACTAAATAAATATTTATTGTCAATTATTTTTTATTTTATTGAAAACGATTAAAAATTTATCATAGTTAAAAATTTTATTACTCATTAATTGTTGGTAGCTCAATAGACATTACTGTTTCTAATAAGTTAAACAAAAAATCATTGACAAGGCAATATTGTATAGAAGCTTTTACTATACACAATTTGTGAAAAATTGAAAAACTGTCAACATTGAAGTTTTTTAATTAATATAAAAACAATTGATGAAAAGATTGATGACAACGTACTTTTTAAGCTTCTTTATACGCATGTGATTCTTCAAAGATGACCCAATTAATATTATAAATGGATTCTCAACTTAATAACAAAAATGCTATAATCAGACTACAACTATGCTGCACATTCAATTTTTAATCATTTGAAAAATTTACAAGATATTTCGGAACTCATTCTTAAATTAAATTCTCCGAATTTATGAGTATGCTTTTAACTTAAATTTAGAAAAATTGAAAAAATATCACATCTACATTCTAACAGTTTTGACATTAAAAAAAAAAATAAATTAACGAGTTAACTTTTTTCGGTTATTCTGTCGTATTACTTTATAAAAATATTTTAGCTGAATATCATCAAGAAATTTTAAGTTTGATGATAAATATGAAGATAAGATTAAAACTTTAAAAGTTCTATCCACAACGAATTTAAAACTTCGAAATTTTCCAAATTATTCTATGATTATATAAGCTTTAAATAAACTTGAACAAAAAATTAATAAATTATTACCCTCAAATTCTATGTCAGTTATTTTGACATTCTAGAAGTAATAAATAGAAAGAGGTTTGATTTTGGAATATTTTTTAGTTGCTTTGACCAACTGACTAAAACAAAAATAACTTCCATTAATGTCATCAATAAATATTTCAAGCTTAATAATAAACTTAACTATCAACTAAGCTCATAAAAGCTCTTGAAATCAATGGAGATTTTCTTAAAAGCGGATGAATCACATTCAATAAAAGAATAACAACATGAGAATTGTCTATAAAATGATTCAATTTAAATGTCAACATTTTGAAAACAATAAATAAAAAGAGGTCAATTATGAAGTGCTTCTTCAGCCATTCCATTTTCAGATCGTATTAAGGTCATTTTACAAAGACAGCCTGGCCTTAAACATAAGGGATACATCTAAGACAGGTTTAAACATCGACTGAAAGATACCGGTACTTGGACGAGCGTCTGGGAAAGTCGTTTGTGACCTCCTGTTCTTGCTGATGTGCCAAGAACATTAAGAGTGAGTGAGGCAAGGTATTAAAAGACTGTAAAGTAGCATAAAGAACAAGGTATATGGACGAAGAAGAATTTCGGAAAATGGGTCAAAGAGCAAGAGCGTTTTTTTTTTCCTTTTAAATTTCATTGAAATGGAAAACTCTAATTATCAAATATTTCATACTTTTGAAAATCAAAGAAGTTTAGATTTCAGGTTAATGCAGTTATTTCCGGGTTGATACGAAAGATGTAGATGTTAAATAACAGATAAAAATATTTTATCGTTGAGTCTTATCATAACGGTTTAACATAATAAGTGTTTTTATGATAGCTTTTCTTCGTTTGAATAAGTTAGACTTGAAGTTAAATTACTTTTGTCGAGGAAAGCAGTGCAAATTAGTAGATTTTCACACATTCTTAGTGCCAAGTGTGTCAATGTTGTAAATTTGATGCATACTTGACACTGATTTTGAATAATTTCACTTTTATTAAATTTAGAATGTGATTTAAACTCCATTCACAACAATTGATAAGTACAAAATATATCTAGGATGATTGGAATAATTCAATACTTTTATTTTAGAGTAAGAAACTGATTTTTGCTGAATGTAGTAATTAATAAAAACATAACTACTTAATTCCTTTTAGTCATTGATGATAGACCACTGAAGATATCAACTAAATTCAAAATTTGATCAACACTTTTTTCATTTGATTCAACTTATTAATAGTTGTAAAATAAATAATTTCTAACTCTACAAAAAATGGTCTCTGGTTTGAATAATACTCATTAATTGCAAGAAAGTTCTATGAAGTAAAAGTAATATTTTATTATGACTGAAAAATGAAGCAACATCACAATGAAATAGCAAATCTTTAATTTCGATTTTCTCAGCATGTCGTTTTCCACAGACAATAATAAGCCGCACATATGTACGCCATGAACATTAATCTTTCAAGTGAAATTGTTGACGAATTGACGGTACATTAAGTGAACACATAATATCCTCGTAGAGAATCGGAAAGGAGAAGGTAGAGAATAAGGGAAAATTGTAGAGTGAATTCGCACTGATAATGAACCACCGGTGGTTCGACGAGCTTACGTACTAGTCCGTGCTAATTGCCATGCCTCCGCACTCTCCTCTTTTCTCTCCTCATTGAATCCGAACCAGGAGTTACAGACGAGTTATATAGCCCAGAAAACAAATTGCTAACATTCAAAAATAAGTTTCCCTAAAAGTACTTCCAATTCACTTTTTACTTTTCTTTTTAAAGAATTGTTTTTCTTTTTCTTCTATTTTTTTTTTCTTGTTTTATTTATGGAATATTTATGAGCAATTGTTTTCTTTATGTGTGTTGCCTGTAGACTCTTCAATAAAATATACGTGTGGTACACTAAACTGAATACCGATGACGCGATCATTCAAACCGGTTTTACAACACGCACACCAGGTAATGCGATTATATAGCGGAATTAATATGGGCAATTGTCCGCTCTGAGAAGATACGAAATTGTTTCTCACATGCCCTTTGTTCCTTTTCTGAGTCATATCAACCAAAAATAATCCAAGAGATTGGAATCTACATAAATACATACACGGATTTATCATTTTTTTTTTCTATTTAATGTCTAAATGCTTTATCATTTGATCAACTTTTTTTACCCAAATTTATGACCATAAATTAACTATTTGAGAATATGATCTTTTTTACAGCGATAAACTTTGAGAGACTGGTCAGAGAAAAAAAATGATTAAAAGATTCTCAATGGAAATTAGATGCTGCAATTATTTACATATAAAAAAATTTTAAAGATGTTTTGGAGCACATTATTTTATACATCATAGATTTTTGAATGCAATATTTGGTCAAATATAACAATTTAATTATTTATTAATATAATTAGTATCATAGAGTGAATGAACTGATGTATTGTTTTTCGCAACACTATTAACTTTTCTGACAAAATAAAACCTGAAAGGTAGAGTTGAATAATAGATAAAAAGTTAATGCGTATTTAAAACGTATTATTGGTTATCATGTTATGAATGTACTCGAGATAATTTTGCGATTTTGATAAAAGGTTACAAAATGAATTTATAAAAATATACCATCATGAATAAAAATAATGTTAAAAAATCTGTAATCATTTTTAAAATATATCTTTTGCTTTGAAATTTTTTTTTTGATTATTCATAAAACTTCAATAAAAATAATAAAAAAACATTCAACCGTTATAGAACTTTAAATCTATGTGCACGAATGGTGAATTATTTACGAATTCATGATCGACTAAATTCCTTTAACTGCAAATTTAAAAAAAAATAATACTAGACACTTTTTTTTCTATGAATAAATAATGTATGTGTAAACATGTACTAAAAGTAATGATATTAAATTATATTAAAGTTGATATGATGATAAGTAATATTAAAAAGTTTTTAAAAAAGATGATAAAATTTTTATTCTTATTCGGCAAAGTATCGAATAAACAAATTTTTCTTTACCCGGAATAAAATTATAGTATCATTCGAAAGTAGTATAAATGTCAAACCAGATTGTT